AAAAAAAAACATAAGGTTTATTCCTCATAAAATAGTGAAAATACCGAACAGGCTTATTAAAAAGCCTTGCAATATTTTTTTGTCATGCAAAACACTGCGGAATCTTTTGAAATTAATGCGTGGAACCATTTTCTTACAAATCAAATTCATGCCAATTTGGTCCTACTGAGTAAAATCGAAATTAAACTTTTTTAGCCCATCTACTGAAGCTATAAAATTTTACCAATACATATACGCCTAACTCAACTCTAAGGCAGTAATTATATCATGCCATTTTTTTTTTTTTTTTTTTTTGAAAATTACATTGTATTTTTTTATTTTGATGACGTAACCCTCTGCTCTGTGACAGGTAGCTGTCTGCTGGCTAACACCGTGCTGATGTTTCTGGCAGCGATATTTTCACAGTTAAGGGCGTCAAAGAAAGATCTGCAATCCCCTGAGAGCAACATGGATGCAGAGGACGAACAAACATAAGAAAGCCACCTTATTTCTTTTCATCAGTTAACCCAAGGGCACACTGATTAAATTTCATGGATTACATCGCCTATTGATTTTCGCCTGTTTTAAAATAATAACAATAATAATGCCCTCGGATCTCTGGTACTGGCTGCTGTCACTGTTTTTGTCTATTCAGAATGCGGCAAAAACTTAGGTTGGTGCAAAGCTCGATTATCTTCTTCCGCAAAACCTGCTGAATTTGTTGTAAAATTTCTGCACATGCACATTGCCGGCAAACGTAGGTGCAAAGATGGCGCCCCCGTCTTCGTCAAAATACATAAATATAAAAGTACACGGGGCGTGATTGTAGATTGGTATGCAATCGACATTGGCGAGGGAGATGCCACATTTGCTCAACTTTACGAAAAACTGGCGGAGGCTAGCGACTATCGCCCATAAAACTTCAAAGACGTCCTGCCAGAGCGGCCCACACACGTTCCTTTTGCAACGACGAGAGCAATGGGTGGAGAGTTGAGATATACCGGTATGGTGGCCTAAAAGTGGGTCTTTTGTATTTTCAATTGTTTTTATAATACAGAGATAAAGCAGATGAATTCTGACTTTTCAATATTCTCAGTGCGAATAAAACCATGTTATTTGTGTAATACACTGTGTTCTGTGGTTCAGTTTGTATTTCTATCTCTGCATATATTTAATTAAGCAGATTTTTTTCATCCTCTCGCGTAAGTTTCGGGATCTCCAAAGGATGTCACCCATAAAATCAAATCAGTGTACATAGCCAGCTGGGGATATTCAAAGGGTGTGGCAATTTTTTTGTTGTATTACCCGTTGATGTCTGAACGTAGAGAAAACCAGTGCGTTTCCCGAATTATGAATCACAAGGCGATCACGGTGAAGGGTGATCAACCAAAAGCGGTTTATTTAATCGGAATTATTGGGATCTTTTTCCAGCTCTACGTCATCCACAGATGTTGTGCTACCCGGTCTCGTTTCTGTGCATTTGACCTTGACCTTGACTAGGAACATGAGTAAAGTACTTGCAAGAAGACTGCCACCTAAGACAAAATGGAGACAGCACTAAGCTTAGCAACATTACCACAAGAAACTGTCTATCAAAACATTAAAGAGAATGTTCCTGACATTATTTGGTCTTAAATAGCACTTACCGCGCAAGAAGGGATACCTTTATGTATGCACCACAAAACAAGGGAACATTTTGGTCGCGTCAGTTAAGCACACATTTTGTGTAATGTTTGCACAACTGCTTCACTTCACTTTCTAATTAGTGTTAATTTCTCTCCATATTAGATAGTGTATATTATGTATATGTCAAATTTTATGGGTATGTCAAATTATAGTCAAACATAATACAAAATGAGTGCATTACCTATGTCGCTCAAATGTTCACTTTTCTGTGAAATCGCCCAACAAAGTACTTTTTTAATTACAGATCTAACATTATCTACACTACAGACTATTTGGGCTAATCACTGCATGTAACCTTCGACTTATACCAGCAAATTAAATTAATTATATTTTTCAAACCGTCTCAATATACCGAGATGTTATTTCAGAGGCTCCATTGGAAACGGTTGGCGAGTGAGAGAAATAAGGGATAATCTTAAGAGAATATCCATGGTTTTTGAAGCCTTGTTTTGTGCAATAAATAACAGTTGTAATTTACAATTTAAATTGTATTCACCAGCATACCTGTATATCTGCACCAAAACTAAAAGATAACTTGCTGTTAGTGCGATTAACACATTTTGGTGAACATATCACGAACGCAATGTTAATCTCAAGGGGCGATTGCGGTAGTGGTGACAATGTGAGAGAATAGTGACATGCAATCGCAATTCAAATCCCAATTATTGTTATTAACACTTATAAGTGATACTCACATCAAATGGAAAAATGAACCAGGTGCTATGTGTGAAATAATTTTTTTTTTTTTGTGTGAAAAATTGGATGCATGTGTCCCTCAAATGGCTTAAGGTGGGTTTAATCAGGGACCCAATCCCAACGAAACGTTCATTCTGCGTAGATAGGTCCAACTCCACGAGGAATGCAATTAGATTAAGGTTGAAAAATTAGACCAAAAAGTTCCAGTTGTCAATAGCTATAGAAAAAAGATTAAGAGACTTTACAGAGCCAGCACACTTTAACGGAAGATAGGTTTTAATATCTATCACAGCCCACATTTCCCTGATGAAGTTTCAGGGACCATTCCCAGACATTATTGTACTAACTTTGGATCGATCTATCTCCGAGGGGATTGTCGCTAAACTGCACTTATCTTAAGCGGCTTAGATGTCTGTCACGCCTACTGAAGGTGCTAGGGGGTAATTAATTATCGTTTAGCAGCTTCAGTAGAGAAACCCCTCGGAGATGGATCGATCCTGTTACATCGCTCTAGGAATGGGAACCCAGTTTAACTGTCAGCAGACAAAATATTGGCTGGAAATATCAGCAAGCATCCCCGTGGAGTTTTATTAATCTAGATAGAACGATGGTTTCATTGGGAATGAGCTCTTAGACCAGACAGTAACCTTACCTGCTGTTTGCATCGCCTTGGCGTAGGCTCCCGTAAGGCTGAATATCAGACCTAAAGAAAAAAATACATTTTCTAAATTTTTATCTCTGGTACATTATTATAACCTTGTAATCTATTGGTGACATGAAATTCTTGCGTTATCTGGCAATCCATGGTATATATTAACACACAACCCATAATTCATTTTGGAGACACATTTCAGTTGGGAGGCATACATGCAAGATGTGTCATGCACCGTATATATTTGCCTTTCACTGTTGTAAAAAAAGAAACTATTCATTAATACAACACATAATTCAAGTCTGGCAGAGGGGATCTAAATGACAATGGCCTGCATTTAATTAACTTTTCATGACCGCGTTCGTAGTTATTTCAAAGCATTTCTTCTTTAAACGGAACACCTAAACGCTTCAGACTAAAGTACCGTAGACCAGGTGGGAATCGGATCATGGTAAAGTTTACACCTTAGATACCAAAACTTTAAAAAATACTAAAACTTTAAAAATACAACTTTTACTGATACTACAGCCAAGAGTTCGGGACGTTTTTTTATACACCTGATATATTACATACTTTACCTCCTAGTAGAGGGCCGAAGGCGAATCCAATCCCACTGGCACACACTAGCACACCCATAGCAGTCCCAAGGTACTCCGTCTTCACCGTCTCCGCCATAATGGCAGTATCCCCTATGAAGAAAGGTATAGTATAGATACCAAAAAACACAGCATAACAAAATTGCCCAATATACTGACCCACGAATAATGGCAAAAGCAAGGTCCCTATTCCAACGATTGACTGGCACATTGTACATAAAGTGAAGCAATCAATATCCGGGTATGTCGTGGCCCCGCCCACAAGGGGTTTGAGAACGAGGCTTGTGATGCCAATAACGGAGAGCAGTCCCGCGGCTTTGTGTTCTGAAGTTCCGGATTGGACACAGTACGGTACGTAATGAACCAGTAACATGCCCGTAACGGTCGTTACACAAGTGAAGTTTAGTATAAGCAGGACAAATGACCTGTCTCTCAACAGCGCTAAACTGAACCCATGTTTCTCTCGGCCCGAGTGCTCTCTATGCTGCTGTTCATATTTATGCGGCCGCAGCAATATTCCCATCGCAACGGCATGTAAACTGAACGCTGATTGGATGAGGCAGACCCCCCGCCAACTGTAGACATCTAACAGGAAGTGGGAGAGCGGCCCCCAAACGAGTTGTCCTAGACTTGATCCAACGTGAACCATGGAGATGGCGAACGGTCTTCTGACATTGAAATAGTAGGACAAACTGATGAGTGAGGCCGTGTACATGAGAGTGCGACCCGAACCTGAAGCGGTGACATTTACAATAATGTAATCAATCATAAGAATATACAACTTTTCCAATGATCTGAAATCTGAAAATAAGAATTAGATTTATTAAATTGTGTCTTTCCTTCAAAAGAGCAAAGACGTAAAAAGGGTGTACATGTAAGTCCTACTTCGGACTCGACCGCATGTAGCGTTCGGTATATTTTGTTGTTATTACAGGTGCACAGCATTTCAGTTAGGCCTATAACAATATAATTATAATATCAATTTATTAACATATAATGGAATACAGGAATACTCATAGTGTTAATAATTGATTTATCTATGATCCTGGGTCAAAACTAGACTTAATATTTCAGCCTTAAGTCACTTTATGAGTTTACAGGTGTGGTTTTTACCTGCGATAATTCCCATTGAAATTATGAGAAAGGTACAGCTAGTGGCAAAAGTGCTGCAGCCCAGTCCCACCGCGGTCGCCACAGACCCGATAATACACGTCATACGACAGTTTATCTTGTCACAGAGGACGCTGGCTAGTATACCTGAAACAAATAAAACTTAAACATTTTATACTTGAAAGTTGCATGGCTGAAAAATGATGTATAAATAAGTACATGTCATTGTCTTATATATCCAGTGATTAATATTGATCTGTTATTGCATAAAAAGTATGGCCGTTTAGAAAAGCAACGGTACTTAATCAGGAACATGTAACATCTAGTTCCTAGAAATTGGAATTTAGGTGGACATCTACGTGGAAGTCCCCGTGCGGCAGTACGGCCACGTGTTTCCCAACAAGATTTCAAACATGTTAAGTGTACTAGTACAAAATAAAATGACAATGTTATAATCTAGACTTTATTGTTAGAACTTATAAGCAAACCAGCGAGTTGTGATAGTCCTATATAGATCGATCCCACCACTGATGTCATCGTTTCCCCTTCTTCAAATGTTTCCAGAATAGGAAGATAAAACACGCCTATGTGAAAGAAAATAAACGTTTATTAAGGGAGTGGAAATAGAAGGATTAAGGACGATATGTTGCAAAAGTTATTAATAAAAGTAAGACGTGAGTATTTAGATATTCATAGATTAGATATTTAGGAAGACACTGGGCTGAACATTTGAAGAGATAATTTTCAGACTCGATCCAATTGAAGATAAGATAAGATAAGAGTTTATTTAGCCATTTATAAAAATTGGAAATCATTTTCCTTTTGGAACAAGTTTGATAATATACCGAGTAAAAGTAATACAATAGATGAATTAAGAATTTGGTTTTGAGATCAAATTAAAATGCGTCACCGCACTGGGATAAAGGCTGTTTAAAATGCGTTTACTGCCTTTGCTGTTAATTTGTGCATTCACTTAGTGCTGTCACTTACCAAACGTGTACCCGTAACCATTGCTTATGAAAAACGTGAATGCCACCGATACCATGACAACCCAAGACCAGCCACCGTCCACGTCGTCACGTAGTGATCTCACGTTGTCATCTTGTTTGTTATCCTGGGTTGGGGCCGCAGGTAGGCCTACGTGGGGCAGAGACTGTATAGATGAAGCAAGAGCCAGATTTGGCAGCCTAACAGTGGGAGACGAGTCGCTCATGACGGACTGATTCATTGGTGACTGGGAAGTATGTCCTTCACCTTTGTTCTGCAAATAGGGCCTAACAGGATGAGATACGTTGGCTTTAAAAATGCGTGAAATAGATCATATGAACATTTTTCAAGCAGTAATTAATCCACAAGAACATTGTTAAAACCGAGTCGTTTCGATACTGTACTAGTCTCTCTCGCTCCCTCTCTCTCTCTCTCTCTCTCTCTCTCTCTCTCTCTCTCTCTCACACACACACACACACACACACATTCTTACACGCACCATAACCCACTCTTTTAAACTGTGTTACCTGTGGCCTAAGACGGATTTCCTTCAGTGTATAGTAAATATGTCAAGACATATACGTACTTACCCCAGTGCCGATATTCTTCGTCCACTACAGAAGGACAGCGATACGGTACATGTACTTGTAGATCACACAATCATAAATGTTACTAAATGTTAACAGTATATTAAGCCTCTTCTCCCTAGAGCTATCCTGTCTCATAAAACTTCTAGACGTCCTGGTGGGCTGTATAAAATGCAGGATAGACTACTGCAAGACCACAAAGCCGCCAAGGTCGGTTCGTTGCCTGTCAAGTCTGTCTGTTGATATACTGCTAACCTGGGCCCCGTAACTCGAAAGCATCGCGTATTGCGAATAGCGATATCAAATAGAGGCTACAGTGTATTTATATGGGACGAGTATGGCCGAGTTATGGAATCGAGACGCTTGCGCTCGGTCGCAATGCGCGATGCTTTCGAGATGCGGGGCCCTGATCACATATATGTTTAGGGCGCCTTTTTAGTTAGGTCAGGAACACCAGGTATTCTCCTGGTGCATATATTCATATACAGCTCTTTGCTTAATCACTCGCCGGAGGACGAATTTGTAGTCGTCAGTGCGATCGTCTGTCAAGGTGCTTTAAAAAAAGTGTCAACTCGTTCGTGGTTCGTCTTTCCTTTACTTCACACTGAAATGTGATTCATGATCAGGCTCGGATACAAATGGCTGTCGACTGCATGGGCGCCTTGTCTTTTATGCGTGTTCTGGCATTATTTAGACCGACATCAAAAGAGGCTTTTTTAACGGCGTCAGCACTGGATTTCAGTTACAGAGCGTAGGAACCTCTCCCCCCCTTTTTTCTAAAATGATTCAATGGATAGCCATACCGAAAATCGCATATTGGTGTGAATACAGTGCGGAGTTATCATCCACTGACATAGCGGTGTTTCTCCGTATAAAAGATCATATTTATAGGTTAATTTAAAGTAATGATCAAGAAGAACCAGGAAGAGGAGTTTCATGCTAAACTTGTTAAGACTCCAGTAAAAATAACATTAGCAGCAATCTAATGCTGACAAAATCTAGGTTAATGTCATTTTAAAATACATCAAAAACGTACTAATAAACCTGTGGGGTATGGCGCTGTGTTTATTACGTCATTCAGACTACTGTTGTGAACGCTCTGTAGTCATACACACATCGACATGCACATGTTGTATTGCATCCAGGTCTGTCACGTTATTAAGCACTGGTACAGTGTATGTCAAAATATTCGACATACACGATACGTAAGCTAAATCAGTTTGAAATTAAGACTGAAAATAGAATCAGATGCATACAAAATGGAACACGATCTATTCGATGATTTGAATAAAATGGATTTGAAGCGGACAGAGTAGAACAAGACAAATCTGAATTCATGTAAGCTTACAAATTGGCATAAGTAAGCTCAACGTGAAATAAATCCGAGAAAGACAAAACTTGGTACAAATGTAGTACACAGAATTCATATCTTGAACTGAGTCTCTGCACAATGTAAAGGACAACTTCCTGAACCAAGATTAGAAATAAAAATGAAACACTTCACGGCGTATGTTTATTAATCCTAGTTATGTGCAGATGGTAAGAGAGGAATGGATTGTTATTGCTATAAATCTATAAACACGTCAATATGTGTAAAACTATGATAGCAACACAGCGTTGCATTATTAACGAAACGTTTCAATCTACAAAACAAATCGACAGACCCGCATATTAGTACGTATAGTGTGTATTGTGCGTTGTTTTATGGGGTATAGGGGGCTTATCCAAACTGTACTCTGCACCGTCGAGCTTCACATAATCCGAACAATGGATTGGCAAAATCTTTGAGGGTGCCAGGTCACAGTACAATGACGGGAGTGTGACTGAAAGCTTAACCAAACTGAAAGTTTAACCAAACAACGACATTCAAAGAACAGTTTGACATCACTTGGATTACAACCCAAGCCTGTAGCTGTCAATCTGAAAAGGACAGGTTCTTTTTTCTCAATAAGTGGACCTTAGCCCAAATAAAGAAACGATCGACAAAGAACCTAGATCAAATTTTGTTTCAGAGAAAACCTTCGCTTGCCAAAAGGGCGGTTCTTTCGAACCCCCGTCCCTCACCCCCACCCCCACCCCCACCCCCAGCCCACCCTCCGTCCTGTATGCGCCAACTATGTCATGCGTGTTGCATTCTGGTCTAGATATCAGCATTGCTTTAGCCCGTGTAACAGCAGTGGTAGTCCTAGGAATGGAAGTAGGGGGTCCCATAAGAAAAGCAGAGGTTAGGGTTAGTCGGAGTATTAGGGTTACATGTGATAAATACGTTTTTTCTTTGGTTTGGGTGTACATTGTTCCCACTTTCCAAAACCAGTACTCAACGTTTTTATACGAAAATAAAAAAGTACCAAAAACCGTTTCGTAAAAACTTGGATTGTCCGTGCTCGTTAACCAACTTAACAATGTTGGCTGGCCTTAATGCTGAAACCAGTGACGTATTCAGAGGGAAAAAGGCCCAGAACAAGCACTGGGGCTGTTCAAGGATATTCCATACCTTTCATGTGGCACCCGTGACTCAGTGCTCTAGATACGACACTGTCTGAAACTGGGCTCTGAAGATAACACTTTCACCCCTCTCTGCTATAGGGAACATTTGCTTTTCTTCGTGTCTAAGTAATTTACAGTTCAGCATGCGAGATACATGTACCCCAAGGATAATCTAGAAACAACACAGAGAGAGAGCTGTGATCCTCACAGGGAAATGAATAACGGAATTGATTCCGATGATTTACTAGTTTTATGTAATTTTTATATTCACCACGGTGCCCATCCTGCAACGCAGGATATCACCATACAACACACGATATGACGCAAAGCGTAGTCTAAATTTAGTCATTCAATATTGCGTAGTTTGTTGATTCTCTATTGATAAGAGAAGAAAAAAAGAACAGGCATGCCTACTGTGTATAAAGGGGTACATGTCTTATAAAGCTGCCTCAGGGAATCGTTTCCTTGCGGGCTTAACGCGATGAGCGGCTTGAGATGAGAAGCACCTTGCAGAAGGTACAACCATGGTACATGTTACGCTGCTAGCGTGGCCAACCGGGTTAGGTCCGCTGCGACAAAGAGACCTTGGAGAGTACGCACCGTATTGAAAAAGTGTGTTCTGCATGGGATAAATACACGGTGTCCTACTTTTTGTGAATTCAATGGTCGTATGCAAAGTTGTGCAGCTAACTATTCATTATGTGCCAAGAAGGCATAATATTGCACAATACTGAATCTATTACTGTAACTTGTTTCTGATTTGGAGTGCACAGGTAAGTGTTCGTCGCTAAAGTTTATTGCAGGTTAAGCAAACTAGATGTGCTGCACTTATAGTGACTAGGCGTGGTATCTGGTTTACTTTGTCCAGTTGATGAAGACATCGGTAGTAATAGCTATAACATAAATGATACACATGTATATTGCCAAATGCACTAATAACAACTGTGCTTTCATCCATTCATTTGACGTGATAAATTGCAGCGGATAACTACCAGCATTTTCAATACATATGAAAATAACGTCTTATTTCGGATAGAATCTCCGGGCTCATTTTTTAATCAAGGTCGAGAGTCTATATTGGTTTACTGCATAGCGAGTGTCCTTATTCGGGTTATTTTATATTGCGTCTCGTTGTATAGGCCTACGTACCTAGAGCACGGCGCAGAAGTACTGTAGCACGTAACCTGGGTGGCAATAAAACAAGGGACAACCATTATTCACTTTTTAGCGACTGGTGTTCCTGATATTAACCAAAGGCCCTCCTTTCTATATGCACGCCGATGCATGCATGTTAAACATGTATATTAAGTGTATCTATTGCTAGTGTTTCGCATTCTTCCTCGTTACCTGCTGCTCGTCACTTAACTTTTATGGAAACGTCATATGTTTATGGTAAAAGATAAAAAAGGAAAAGTGTTGTCCTTTCACTTAATTTTGAAATGCCTAATCACCCTTTGGTTTCTTGTCCTTCTTGCGTGCTTACCTTGGCCTATTCTCAGTGCCTCCTTGCGGTCCTTGGTTGCCACAAGGGCGTGATGGATTGCGCTCTCTGTTGCGAGTCTTGGCACAACTAGCACAATGCTGCGGTCACATGGCATTTTAATCGTCGCCTTGAGCAGTCTTTTAGGCTCCGTTCACATGAAAAGTCTATTTTTTTTAAATCTATTTTTTTTATTCGCGGTATCTTGTGATCACGGTCTGTGCCCTGAATATCCCGCGGCGTAATTACTGGCAGCGCGAGCCAGTTACTTCCAAAGCTGTAATTAATTCTCGGCTGCGCTCGGAGTGATCACAAGATACCGCGAATAGAAAATAGATTTTTAGAAAATAGATTTTTCATGTGAACGGAGTCTAAGCCATGTAGTTGCTTTGAAAAGAGGTTGATAAACACCTGTTGCACACAATATAATACTGATTTTTANGACACTGTCTGAAACTGGGCTCTGAAGATAACACTTTCACCCCTCTCTGCTATAGGGAACATTTGCTTTTCTTCGTGTCTAAGTAATTTACAGTTCAGCATGCGAGATACATGTACCCCAAGGATAATCTAGAAACAACACAGAGAGAGAGCTGTGATCCTCACAGGGAAATGAATAACGGAATTGATTCCGATGATTTACTAGTTTTATGTAATTTTTATATTCACCACGGTGCCCATCCTGCAACGCAGGATATCACCATACAACACACGATATGACGCAAAGCGTAGTCTAAATTTAGTCATTCAATATTGCGTAGTTTGTTGATTCTCTATTGATAAGAGAAGAAAAAAAGAACAGGCATGCCTACTGTGTATAAAGGGGTACATGTCTTATAAAGCTGCCTCAGGGAATCGTTTCCTTGCGGGCTTAACGCGATGAGCGGCTTGAGATGAGAAGCACCTTGCAGAAGGTACAACCATGGTACATGTTACGCTGCTAGCGTGGCCAACCGGGTTAGGTCCGCTGCGACAAAGAGACCTTGGAGAGTACGCACCGTATTGAAAAAGTGTGTTCTGCATGGGATAAATACACGGTGTCCTACTTTTTGTGAATTCAATGGTCGTATGCAAAGTTGTGCAGCTAACTATTCATTATGTGCCAAGAAGGCATAATATTGCACAATACTGAATCTATTACTGTAACTTGTTTCTGATTTGGAGTGCACAGGTAAGTGTTCGTCGCTAAAGTTTATTGCAGGTTAAGCAAACTAGATGTGCTGCACTTATAGTGACTAGGCGTGGTATCTGGTTTACTTTGTCCAGTTGATGAAGACATCGGTAGTAATAGCTATAACATAAATGATACACATGTATATTGCCAAATGCACTAATAACAACTGTGCTTTCATCCATTCATTTGACGTGATAAATTGCAGCGGATAACTACCAGCATTTTCAATACATATGAAAATAACGTCTTATTTCGGATAGAATCTCCGGGCTCATTTTTTAATCAAGGTCGAGAGTCTATATTGGTTTACTGCATAGCGAGTGTCCTTATTCGGGTTATTTTATATTGCGTCTCGTTGTATAGGCCTACGTACCTAGAGCACGGCGCAGAAGTACTGTAGCACGTAACCTGGGTGGCAATAAAACAAGGGACAACCATTATTCACTTTTTAGCGACTGGTGTTCCTGATATTAACCAAAGGCCCTCCTTTCTATATGCACGCCGATGCATGCATGTTAAACATGTATATTAAGTGTATCTATTGCTAGTGTTTCGCATTCTTCCTCGTTACCTGCTGCTCGTCACTTAACTTTTATGGAAACGTCATATGTTTATGGTAAAAGATAAAAAAGGAAAAGTGTTGTCCTTTCACTTAATTTTGAAATGCCTAATCACCCTTTGGTTTCTTGTCCTTCTTGCGTGCTTACCTTGGCCTATTCTCAGTGCCTCCTTGCGGTCCTTGGTTGCCACAAGGGCGTGATGGATTGCGCTCTCTGTTGCGAGTCTTGGCACAACTAGCACAATGCTGCGGTCACATGGCATTTTAATCGTCGCCTTGAGCAGTCTTTTAGGCTCCGTTCACATGAAAAGTCTATTTTTTTTAAATCTATTTTTTTTATTCGCGGTATCTTGTGATCACGGTCTGTGCCCTGAATATCCCGCGGCGTAATTACTGGCAGCGCGAGCCAGTTACTTCCAAAGCTGTAATTAATTCTCGGCTGCGCTCGGAGTGATCACAAGATACCGCGAATAGAAAATAGATTTTTAGAAAATAGATTTTTCATGTGAACGGAGTCTAAGCCATGTAGTTGCTTTGAAAAGAGGTTGATAAACACCTGTTGCACACAATATAATACTGATTTTTATTCAAGTTTCGCAAAATATTGTAGTAATAATCTCAGAAAATAATTATAGTGGATAGATAGATTCATTATTTGATAGTGATACTTGTTATTTTACATAAACGCAAAGTACGTATCTCTGGTAAAATGGTTGAGATGAACATCTTATAACGCTCTAGTAAGTTAACGCTGATACCTGATCTGAACTGAGACTGGTCTTTGGCCCATGGCCATCGCCGGCACTCGACCTGGTACCTCTACTTGCTCTATATCGGTATGCAAACACACGTGGGGATTAGGGTCTTGATCTCACGGTGAATCATTCGTTAATCTGGCCAGGTCTTCCGTGAAGTCCACCGGCACGGTGCAAGATGATCGTTCTGGTAAAGTGGGGGGGGGGGGGGGTCCTTGGGGAAGGAGAGGGGGAAGAGAAGATGAAAACAACGGGCACTCTCGCCTATTTCAAATTCTATTGTGCCCCCCCCCCCCAAAAAAAAAATGGTGTATCAAACATAACGATACAAAACAGAGGGGGATGTCTATTCCAGTGTCCTTATTTCATATTCTAGTCAGGTTATCCTCAACCAGTGAAGGTACTGTTTAATCATTTCTTAAACCATCTCAGGACAAAGCCCTATTTCCATCTGTGCTGATACCGGTGCATGTATATGGAGGATAAAGTATGTACCGGCATATGTATATGAATGGGACTACATAAATACGAGGATAAAGTATGTACAGGCATATGTATATGAATGGGACTACATAAATACGGTGTGAGTTTGGTCTTCGTTTTTGATCGAGTATTGCCCTTCTCTGCAAAGCACGATTGTAAATTACACTGAAAAGACAGTCGACAATGCTCGTTAAAAAAAAGGAAAAAAAAAACAGCAACAAAAATTGTCATTCGAATCATGATATTACATTTAGATATTTTTCAGGATGATAAAAATTAAGTAACACAATAAAATGAAATAAAACAACATAAAAGCAAGGATAAAAAAATCAGTTTAACTAAAATAAATCGATGGCTGTGGATATAGTCATAATAATTCATAGCCTGAACTTTAATTTACATCATATGAGACACATTGAGATGTGTGCTTCTGGTCGAGGCACCGACGCACGCACCTGTTTCTTGACTTGTGCCATGAAGGCCAATAGGAGAAACAGGTTTTTAATATAAATGTTTGTTATGTTTGACCTATACATGTACCTAGCCAAGGCCAGAATACCATGTCACTTAAATTGTGTCTGTAGGTAGATGTTCATCTCTTTAACTATAATAACCTCTATCGCTATGTTGCTTTCCACGGTTTTGGAGAATGTACTTGGATAACATGACATGGTCATGTTGTTTTCGTTCAACTTGTAAGTAAAGAACATAAACAGAGCCATTGGAAACACAACGCTATAACCAGTCACACAGCAGATGCACTGCAAATTCTGTGTCTGTACACAGACACAATCTTCTCAGCCACCGCTGGAATGCAATCTCAGTCTGGAGGCCACCAGGCAAAAAGCACTCAGCCTCGGGAGTTGGCTCTTACGTAATAAAGCCTTCTGAAACAGATGCTCATGTCAGTAAACGGTCACAGTCTGTTTGGGAGTCGAGCACAATTGTTCATCGGCTTGGTAGTTGGACCTAAATGAAAATTATCAAACACAAACTGAAATACTTTTACACCCCTAGCTTGGGCATTAAAATAATAATAATAATAATAGCTATAAGCCTATAAAAGTAAAATGTGTGTTCTCTCAGTGTATTGAACTATTTACAATTGTAAAAAGTATTTTTAAACACTGTATAAGTAGTAATCCATAGTGATATATATATATCTATTTATTTATTTATCTATTTGTAGTATAGAGGGCTAACAAATGTCACATAACTGTCACATTTAATGCTCGAATAAATTATTATTATTATTATTATTATTATTATTATTATTATTATTATTATTATTATTATTATTATGACTGAATTTTAATTGCTTTTAAATGTGAATAACGTCAATGAAACGCCCTGTTTATTCCGAAGTCAGAATACAAAAGGAATGGCGTTTTCTGCGTTCAGTACAAGTTCGCAACAGGACACCATGGGCTGACAGCTTTTTTATCATTTACTCGGAGCACGTGGTTTTTGACACTTTTGGCATCCCGAGGCTTATTTTACGACCACTTTTAACTCTTGGTTCCCCCTTAAACGCCAAAAAATGCGGCGTTGTACAGTTTAAGCACCCTGCCTCTGCTTGGGCTACGTTAATGAGCACAAGGTAGAACAAATAAATTAAACTACCTTACATGACGCCATAACTATCTTAACGTCACCCTTGCGCCCCTTATTGCTGTGCACATTGAAATGAAAATATTGGTCGGCATATATTTGATTTGTCGTTCGATATCCCAATACAATTAATCCACAGGTGAGTTATCACGCACGCGAACAATGCAGTAACCAAGCGCGCAGGCTATACTCTATACCAGGGGTGCATTGCAACATAGACCAAAGACCACTCTGTTAACTGTTTTCAGACAGCTGGCCCTGGTTGGGGCGAATGCAGGGAAAGTGAGGTCTACCTACGCGTGCTTATTTGTTCAGTCAAAGCAACAGCACACAGGTAGGTTCTAATGTATACACAGCTAAAAAAAGGTTGAATCATGTAAACAATCGGTATATGTGTACAAAGCCGGGGACAGGTAGACCTAGATGTGCAGTTGAATGTCATTAGTCCAAAATGAAACGGAAAACGGATTTATTTATGAACCCCGTGCGTTTGACTGCACAGGGTCTCTTTTTTATCATATTTTAGACTGCATTCCCACAGATTTAGATCGATCCATCTGGATCGACCTAGCTCTCTGAGGAGTCATGCTAAATTGCTGTCAGCCGAGCGTACACGGAAGTTAATTTAATTACCCCCTTACAGCTTTTAGTAGGTGGGACAGACATTTAAGCCGGCTAAGCTGACAGTAATCTAGTGAGACTCCCCACGGGGATAGATCTATCTAAAATCTGTGGGAATGCAGTCTTAGTGCTGCAGGTGTATATAAGCTTAGTGTGACGGTAGGCCCTACCTTAAAACTTCACTACATGCAGTGCAGAGGCCAGCGCTAGTACGCCTAGTATGCACTTGCTAATAATTAAATTTACATTCTACATTTACTTCATTTAATGTGCAGGAAGACGTTTCTTGGCAGGCTGGTTCTCCGGGTTACTTGGTAAATTTTCGAGAGACACCTTACGCAGATGGAACCACCTATTAATTCTAGAAACAACATGAGCGTTAGTCTTCCGAATTTGGTATTGGGGTCGTCTATTCTGTCTCTTCCTGATGTCAAGGAAGAGAAAGAAGATGTCTCGGCGTCATCTGAAGAAGAAATGCGCGGCCTGTGTGATCACGTGGACAGCGGGTGGTCTTGGGTTGTCATGGTAGCAGGAGCAGTGGGGCTTTTCCTTGGCAACGGGTATTTGTATAGTTGTGGTCAGTGAGTTTTTTTTTCATTATCAAACAACTATTAAACATAAGGGGTTATTTTTATGGTCATCAGGTCACAGTTTTAGTAAATTTGAGATTTTTAAAGAATTAAACCAAACACACCAACACAATGCTGCTCTTAGCAATATTTTGAACAAGTAGTGTTTCATATGGCCCTCCATTCAATCGATGGAGTCCCACTACCTTACCAAACGAATATGTCGTTTTAGCAGTATGGCCTGGTGTTCGTATATGAATTTAGGCTTCCAGACTGTTCCTAGGAACACAATGAATTGTTTCATTTTAGGTGTCTTCTATCTACCATTATTGGAGGATCTGGGTGAAGGGGACGTTCTCACTTCTATGGTGGGTTCCGTGTTTCTGGGCCAGTCAGTGATATCAGGTAGAGTGACGTTACTGACCGCATAGCCAAAGAAGCAAGCAAAGACCCTCCTGTTGGGGGGTGGGGGTGGGGGTACAGTGTGCTTACCCTTTTCAGTTAAATTATTTATAAACAGTGGATATATTAATATGTTAACACGGTCTTGCTTTCCTCGGGGGACTTTGTTGCTAAGGTGACTCTGTTACAGATTATAAAGTTCCCAATCCCATTCACTGGGGCTTAGTATATATAGAGATTTTTTCGCTTGACTTGAAAAGGGCCTCAGGTATATTTTCTAATTAATTAACTAATTAATTAATTAATTAGAAACTGGGGCTATATACAGAACTTAATAGAGAAATAATTAATAAAGTTTAATTAATTAATATTTATATTGTTTTGTTTTTTTTTTATCCTCATTCCCAGGCTTCCTGGCCAGTATACTATGTGACAAGCTGGACTGTAGGAGAGGCTGTATGATAGGAGGGTTGTTGGCCGCCACTGGTCTGGTGGGGAGTTTCTTTGCCAGCAACTGTACTCATCTCATCATATCCTTTGGGGTGTTTACAGGTGCAAATGATGCTGTTAAATCTTTATGTGAAGAAATACAGAAATACACAGTAATACATTTTGTCGACTTACGTACAAGTGTACAATCGCATTACCAGTGGTCTGGATTGCTTGACTTTCAATCATGAATTATCAATTTAATTTCCAGTATCTTAAGTCCGTGTTACACTTAATCGTATAGAGGCAAATATGAGTATCGTGTGTGAGGTTGATTACATGCACAACTTTTTATCAGCTTATGAAAATTAATGAACGTAAGGATGCGCTGTTCATACGCAACTTATATTTTTTATCATACACCGCAAAGGGGTGAAATCATTAATTCACTCACAGTTGTATGTAAAAACGATTTGACATTCAATACTCACGCGTTCCTTTAAATGCAACAGTGTGCCAGCACCTTTATATATGCCATTTATATATCTCTATCTTTCTAGGTGTAGGCCTAGCATTTTGCTACCAAGCGGTTCATATCAGCGTGTCCCACTATTTCAACGCCAAAAGATCCTTTGCCATTGCCATCATGCAAATGGGCTCCAGCATGGGACAATTGGTTTGGGGACCGCTGACACACTACTTCATTGACATCTACACATGGCGAGGGGCGTTTTTAATGCTCTCGGCTTTTAGCCTGCATTTAATAGCAATTGGAGCGTTGTTACGACCCCATAAAAATGAATACCTTCACAAGAAACAGAGGGGTGGTAGTGCCTTTGACATTGCGATATTCAAAAATATTCCATTTGATCTTTTGATGTTTAATACCACATTGGTCTCCTTGGTGCTGGGGATGTTTTTCTTCCATTTTCCTGCGTATGCCGTTTACTCCGGGACTTCGATTCACGCGTCCGCATTGTTGCTCGGCGCTATTGGAATAACTAGCCTCGCACTGAAGCCCCTCTTTGGAGCCGTCATGAATCACCCGGATGTTGATATGTGGACGGTTTACAGTATGTCGCAAACAGTCAGTGGTGTCGTGACAGTACTTTGCCCGTTATTCATGGTAAACTTTACGGGGCAACTCATATATGCTGTGATATTTGCTGTGTATACAACACCCTTTTTCACAGCTCATGCAGCTATAACTTTACAAAGTGTGGAATCGAAGCATTTCGGCGCTTCAATTGGGATTTTGCAGAGTGTACCCGCAAGAAAACGCAGTAGATACTCCAGCGCAGTAGACTACTGCAATCATACTGCAAACATGCTTCAAATCTGCTTCGATTTGGGAGCTAATTAGCATATTTGAAACATGCTTCTATCATGCTGCTAATCTACTGCATTAATGCTCTTCTCTGTACAAACCTATGTACTTTTTGGAGTAGAATTGCAGTAGGCTATGCTGCATTTCTACTGCAAATATGCTCCACACCACTACTGCGTTAATGCTTTTTTGCTACTTCGATACTACTGCATTTTCGTGCGGGTAGTGGGACTTGGTTTTTTCTTTGGACCCATAGTTGGAGGTACGGCTATACTTGTCTACTAATTTATATTTGAAACAAGCAAAATACTTAAACGCAGAAAGAAAGACAAATGACAGACTTATGGACGCACGGAGTTTTAGGATTATATAGAATAAATGGCTAAAATAGATAACGACATAACCGTACGAGCAAATAGACAGGCGAGTAAACTAACGGAGAGAGGAGGGAAGAGTCAGTAGATGAATTAACGAAAAAGCATGATTAAATAAACAAAAGACAGGCAGGTAGACTAATTAACCAACGAGTGATGTAACATCCTGGAATTTTCACGATCATGTAAGCTTCTAATATATATGCTTTAAAACCAAGTGGTATGAGCACATAGCTGTCCATTGTGTTAATTGTTGTCTTATTCTGTTACAGGCTGGACCTATAGTGTGACTGGGTCGTATGCTTTTGCCGTGCAATTTGCGGGTAAGGCTCGTCGTTCAGTTGCTAACCACAATTAATATAACTTTTATTATACTATATATCTTTAACGACGGATCCCATTTTTTATTTCATACTTGTATATAGATGCCTTGTCGGAGGTCTATATTCTCTGAGTGCTTTTCTAATTCAAAATCCTCTAGGTGTCAGGCTGTGCCCTGAGGTATGATACATAAACGTGTTTTTATTATATTATTTTTCAGGTGGGTGTCTTCTTGTTAACACACTGGTTATGTTTGCAATGAAAGCAGCTTCCCGTGGAAAGCACGGCGAGGATATTTTAGAGGATAACAAATTCAATGACGTCACTTCCTGTCACAATAGTGATATCCATACTACTTCACGTTGTAGAGGAGATGTCCATAGGCTAAAGGCAGCGTCTCATCTGGATATTCCTGTCAAATCTGCACATGCTTATATTTATAATACAACCACTTAATTTTTTGCTGTAATATTGTGTAAAAGGTCAAAAGTTGAACCTTATTTTATAGCGCACACGTTGTTGTTCTCCAAGGTTTTGAAGTAAACATCGTGAATCGTATTTTAAAATTATGAGTGTTGAAAAGGAGGCATTTTGATATGTGTGTCATGCAATCTATTCTGCAAAGAAAGTGTAGTATATAACATGTTCAGATAAAGATACAATCAAAAATAAAGCCTTTTATGTATTAACCATCGTGGGGCGGGAAAAGGGGGAGGTAAATTGAGGGGAGGGGGGATCAGGGGATACAGCATTTTATTTTCATTTTAGGCACGTGCCCCCCCCCCCCCCCACCACCACCACCACCATCACCATTGCCACCAGATTTACATGCATAAAGTCTACTAGCGTAAAACAGAAATAGTTCGTATATACAAAGCTATCTCCTTAAATACCAAAGAGAGCACTTGCAACAAAGGTCATCATCTTAATCCTTCAAGATAAGGTCTGGAGTCTGTTCATATCTTTCATTTATTCAATTTTATACCAATGCCTCATCACCCGATATAAGTCCTCCTTAAACAAACAGCGCAGGTTAATGCACGTATAATGCACGTTAGATCTTTACATTGCATAATACCTTTCTTGGAAACGTTAAGCAACTTCTTCTTACAATTACCAGGAGATATTATTATCCATAAACATGGGCGTCCGCAGAATATTTTCCGGGGGGGGGGTCAAAGTCATTGAAGGGGAGTTAATGATTGGCTGGGTTCCCGCAATTAACGTGCCCGTCAAAATTCCAGGGGGGGGGGGGCGGGGGTCAAGTGACACCCATGTCTATAAACCCACTTTCGAGTTCTATATTTCAGACTTTTACCAAAACCACTGAAATTCACTAATCTCTGTCTCTTTTGCCAGAGTGACTCCGAAACTAGAAACTCACAACTTAAAAGGATTTATTGGTTGTACTGCAGTAAATAGTTTGGATACGATATATCTTGGTGATGAATTAGAAAAAAAGATTTAATTTTAGCATTTTCTTAGTATGATATAAATGGATGACAAAACGTTCACTTTGATTTCGTACTCTTCACTCACTTATCAATATATGTAGCTAGGTAAAGGTTACGCAGGTGTCGCTTGCCATGCTGGTGTTATAAATTAGAAGAGTGATGTTTCAGTTGAATGTATCTGCTTTGGTTCCCCTTATAAGTGTTTTTTATGAAGGTCATCTAACAGCCATGTTCTCTGCGGATCGGCTGACTGTACTCGGACTAATTTCGGTGCAGCCAGAAGACACGTGATCCAGGTTGGCTACACCCGCCATCTTCTGTGTGGAATTTTTGCCAGATGAAATCTCCACAGCAAACATGACGAGAGTATTGACCACGAGGCACCCACCTGTGTGAAAACATTGCATTTTGAATGGTTTTTGGACAAATTATATCTTTCCCGTCTTTTATGCATTGAGTATATCCTTGCGTTTAAAAAAAAAACTCTAAGAAATGCGGTGGTTTTGTGGTCTTACCTGCAAACTGCACGCCTGGAGCATATGACCCAGTCAAGGCGAACGTCCAACCTTTAACACAATAACAGAAAACCACATGATAAAACAATAAAGTGACTGTTACCTTAAATTTACATTACATAAACATTAAAATAATACCTTTAAACTGGAGTGGGCGACCCTGTCAGATTGTTACAAGTGAAGAGTGTTTATCAATGTGCTTAATTTCCCCTTTATTTAAGTGATATGAATGATCAGGTATTAAATACAGGTGTCATGTTTATTCTGAACGTACCTCCGATAAATGGTCCAAATAGTATTCCAAGACCGCCTCCACATTGTAGAAGTCCCAGTGCTGCTCCGTGGTGCTTGGTCGATACATGCTGTAAAAATATTGCAACTATTCCAGCGAAATACGGAGTTGTGTAGATGGCGAAAAGCAAAACAAAAATCATCTGTCCCGAAAAGTCAGCCATTAATATCGGAGACAGTGTCATCAAGACCCCAGTGAGCGTTTGCGACATGCTGTAAACAGTACATTGGTCAACATCCGGGTGATTCATGGCTGCTCCAAAGAGTGGCTTTGCAAAAAGGCCCGTAAATCCTATGAGAGAAAGCAGCAATGAAGCTTTGTGAATTGAGGTTCCTGAGAACACTGCATAAGCAGGTAGATGGAAAAATAATAACCCTAGCACCACATTCAACAGAACAACGTTAAGCGTTAAAAGCAGCAGCGGCACGTTCTTCAACACCGTGAAGTCGAACAGGACGCCATTTTTAAGTTGCTTTTGAAAGTGCTCTGTTCTGTGAGGCCGCAGCAAAGCTGCCACTACCAAAAGATGCAAACTGATAGCAGACAGTAACAACATGGCTCCTCGCCAGGTGTATTCATCCACAAAATAGTGTGTAAGTGGAGCGACGACCACCTGTCCGAGACTGGACCCCACCTGAATAAAGGCCATGGCGAATGGTCTTCTCTCGTGGAAGTAGTGGGCCACACTAATAGTGGCAGCTTGGTAGCTGATCACCAAGCCAGCACCTGAGAAAACAGCAAGGTAAGTTTATGAAAGGGATAAAAACGTACAGGGTACAATGTAAACGACATATAGTTATAACTTTGTACAGGTATCTTGGGGCGGATACAAGACCCAAAGTATCTGAGAATAGTCGTTTACCATATGTACCATATTTTTTTGGCACTTTTTCCCCGCCAAAGCAAAGAGATGTTATGCCTTTAAATTCGAGGAGCAATTCTTTAACAGAGGCCAACAGAGAAATGCACCCCCATATAAACTATAAACTGTAAACTAATAATAATTCGGATTTTTAGTTATAGTAGTATTCCACTAGTCTGCACGTATATGTACATGTATAAGTCAAGTTTCGTAATGCAGCTGGGTATTGTGTTGATCATTAATAAGAGATAAAAAAATACCTGCAACTGCACTATACGTGACTATGAGGAACGCACAGCTTGTGGCGAAGAAGCTTGCTCCAAGTCCAGCTGCAGCGACTACAGCACCCAGAGCACATGCCTTGCGACAACCCAGCTTGTCACATAATATGGAAGCAATAAAAGCTAAAAGAGAAAACAGTGAATAAATGGTAGAATGTTATCTGAAAGACAATGTACATCGCACAAAAAACTTCACTATTTGAAGTTGAACACCTTGTCGGCTAAGTATATTTGGGACTCCGGTCTACCCCTGATACGGGTTCGCATTCTCTTGAAACAGGTTCCTCACATTGTTCTGTATGTGCTGATATAATAACACATGATGTTTGAAAAAAGTTGTCTCAAATTCAATAGTGCTATCTTTAAAACCTTATGAAGTTTTTATATAAAAAACAATAATTAATTTAACTTTTACATTGACATGCTAACACTGTTTGTTGTCTAATGCATGTACTGTAGAATGAGTACATATAAAGAGTAATTAGAACGTCAATATAGTAAATTAGCCTATAAACGCCGTGATTTATTCATGAAAAACTACTCGATAACGAAAAAAAACGTATCGTCTAGCTAACTTGCACAAAGCATCAATGACGAGAAAATACACACATCAAATACGGTATCCTCATTATTGTTGTAACAGTGTTGAACATTACATACCCGATACAATGCCTTGACCCAATAGTATCGAACCCACCAGTGACGTCATAACCTCGCCTTCGCCAAAGGCTTCTAACAACGGAAGGTAAAGGACGCCTGTGAACAAAGCAAATGGAAGCTAGGAGAGCGCTAGTGAGAACGGGGCCCCGTATCTCAAAAGCATTGCGTATTGCGAATCGCTATATCAAATAGAGGCTACAATGTATTATATAGGACACCTTGTCGGCTGTATGGGCGAGTTATGGAATCGAGACACTTGCGCACGTGCGCAACATAGCGAAGCTTTCGAGAGATAGGAGATATGAATAGTTCTGTCAAGAACAAAGGGTTTTGCTTTTTTACGGATGACTTACAAAAATAAAGCAAATTTAGCGTTGTAGTGGTCTTCAATACGCATTGTTTTTTGAGACTTTTTAAACAAAATCTAAAAACATAATTTACACTGGAAATTATGGAAATAGTGCGAAATGATATTGACGAACACCTTGTAGTCTAATGCTTGCTATGAAATTTCAAGGCCAGGGCCCCGTAACTAGAAAGCATCGCGCCTTGCGACCAAGCGCAAGCGTCTCGATTCCATAACTCTGTTATACTGGCCCTATATAATATATTGTAGCCTCTAAGTGATATCGCTATTCGCAATGCGCGATGCTTTCGAGTTACGGGGCCCTGATGTGTTCCAGTATGCTTTCAGATTTACAGACTGTTGACATAAGATAGACCCGAAAAAAGTACATCCAGAAAAAAACACAAACCATAACCATTGGATAGACATAGAAATAAACTATACCTGAAGAAATCAACGTCTTAAGTACTTACCACAACTGTAGCAAAAACCATTTGCAATGAAAAGCGCCAATGTCCCCGTTACCATGATAACCCAAGACCATCCGCTATCCACGTGATCACACAGAGCCAACCCCTCCAGCTCATTCTTTGAGGGCGGTTCTGCGAGGCTGTCTTCAGCTTGCTCCTCGCGAGGTAGAGAAACAAGTGATGCCCCCAGCACCAGATTTGGAAGGCTGACGCTCAGGTAGTTCCGTGCTGTGTAATTTGGCTTTTGTGCCATTACTAATCTGGCGCTCTGGATATTGTTGGTGACGATTCTGGAAAAAGGGAAACAAAGACGTGATATGTTTCTCCTCCTCCATTCTCTTTCTCTCTCTCTCTCTCTCTCGCGCGCGCGCGCGCGCGCGCGCACGCGTAACGTACATATATTCACTCTGCTCAAATTGAATTTCTTTTTTAAACCGTCATGTATTCACTCTGCTCTGAAATTGAATTTCTATTTTAAACCGTCTAAAACTTTTACCGTGAAAAGATGGCACAAGGCCGACAAAAAAGCTTCCTTTTCTATGGAAGGAATTCTCTCTGGCTGAAACGATGGCTGAAATCTTTAAGATGAGCTTACATACAGCTGTGAGAAAGTCAAAAGCCAGTGAGATTAATATAACTTTATCTAGGGGCAAGCGCAACGTGTTAGATAGAATTACGTCATCTGTACACTTGTCATTTCAAAAGCCCAGTGTCGTTAATCTAAACGGCTGGCCCCTATCGGTATGCAGCATGAAGGAAAGTCATGCCCAGATAACATACTGTATATAATGTTATCTTTTGTGTCGTCGCTTAGCACACAGCATATACAGATATTGGAGCAGATGTTATGACATACGTTCTGTTGGTGGTGTGTGCGCTCGATCCTTATACTCTGTACCAGACTGAAATATCTCGAAACTGTTACAAAATTTGTGGCAGCCTTTCATAGAATTTTTCAGCTAAAAGGCTTATGTGAGATTATCATTCATCAGGGAGATAAGAACGCTCCAGGATCGAAGAGAGCCATTACGGGTTGTGTAAATGGTTTAGCTGACAGAAATTGCTGACGTACATGTATACATGTACATGTAGAAATGGGTGGCCTCAATAGTGTGATTAAATAGACTAAATATCTTCTCCAAATATTAAAGTCTGACAAAAACAAAATAAAAAAGAATGTGACGTGGCATTTCAAAGCACCAACTTTGGGCAATTTCATGTGGTGTTTATATCGCGAACATCCAGCAGCTCTTTCCAAGCAAGTGTTATGGCGAATGAAACGGTCGTGGAAAATCCATAGCACTGTGCACACTCTTGAAAGCTTGAATGAAGAACCGCACATTTTTACATCATTTTATAATTACCTACAGTATAGGTCCGATTGGAATAATCGTCTCTATTTTTTTATGGCACGCTGGCGTTATAATAAGTAAGACTGGCACTTGAGCCGCGTAATCATAATGTACACATTACCTGGTATACCACAGTCCCGGGTCGTTATTTTATTAGTTATAGAGATAACCACGTATACAAGGGACGTACATATATGTCGGTTCAATGCTGCCTGTACTAGTAGTAGTAGTGGCGTTATAGCTTATATTGGAGACCGTGCAGTTCTTCAAAATAATGCGGATTTAATAACTTTCACCCAGGAGGAGGTTCTTACCTTCTATCTTGGACTTGAAGTAAAGTAACTTAATCGTGAAACGTTTGAAAGCAATTCTCCAGCATGCCCGGCAGCTTGAGAAGTAACAGAAACCAGATGTATAAAGTATACAATCGAAATGGGAAAGAAGAGAGATATGGGGCGGGGGGGGGGAGGGTTAATAATACCCGATACCCTGATTAGTAAACACTGGCGCATGGACAATAGTAATCGACCAGTGACCTGTTTTCAGCCTTGAATATGATGGTTTTTTTCTGTACGCAACAATCTTAACCCCGTTGACGGAGTTGGGCAGTTTTTGCGATGTTTTCTCTTTGCTCTTACCAGTTTTACTCGGGCTCTTTTGCTCTCACGAGATGTGTGTACAGAACGTATATTGGTTGTCGTACGTACTAGTATCCCTTCAACATGCCATCGAATTTACTTTAATGTAGGGATAGGAGGTTAGGTCAGAATACAGCCGAGAAAAACACGATATGAATCGGCCTCGTTTTTACGAACTTCTGTAGTAACGTTTCTGGTATTGAATCCGCCCATCTAACTAAGAATTTAAGACCCTACGGGGTAGATTCTTTAAGCGATCAGAACTTTTTACGGATAGTACATGTATGTAACATAAACACACTAAAATATTAGGGAAAAAAGCATGTTCAACACTTACGTGACCGGAGAAAAAATCTAAATGGCGAATCTGGCTTTGTGTGTGGCACAATGTACATTAATGGAAGGTCTATGGTGAGGTCGAGTAGTGTGAGTGCGGGATTGTAAACACGGATTGTTTCGCGTTGATTGATTGGTGTAAAGTTAAAAATGAGGTCATGAAGTAATAAGATCGCAACGTGATTGGATAGCGGTTACGCAATGGAAGGGAGCGTTCAGATAAACCCATAGTACTTGCTGGATCGATCCAACTCTGTGGTAGATTATCTGTAAGTGCAGTCACTTTAATTGGCTTTAATTTCTGACAAGCCTCAGCTGATTTGCACTATAGCGAGAATCCCCCACCATAGTATTAGTTGGCTCAATCCAGCTGGTAAGATGTTAGAAGCTTAACGCAGTCTAATAGAAAACGTGGGGAGGGAGATTTGATGCAAATCAGACTTCTTCCTCCAAACCTGTAGCGGCCAAAACATAGATCGGTATGACTTGGTACGTCATGTTAGAGAGCATTCGTGCATAGAATAGCTTAATTGGCGTTGTATGTACTGGTATAGGCTATGTCAAATATTGTAACATATGGTTGTGACCAATTGTGTTAGAGGTGACGATGCAGTGGGTCCCTCTAGTGTGGACTCCATGCGGAGTGAATTGTCACAGGTGTCACATATGTTGTTGGTCACACGTGTTTTCCATGTTGAAAAAGTGTGGACTCCATGCGGAGTGAATTGTCACAGGTGTCACATATGTTGTTGTTCACACGTGAATGTAATGTAAAACTGTAAAATAATAATAAAAAAAATTTGAACCAGCGCAAGTTTATTCATTTTTAACTTCAACAGGCTACATGTATCATAGGACAATCACGTGCATAAAATTACACTTTATGTTTTTTAAGTTTTTTTCTGAAATGGTATGGAATTCCGGCGATTTAGTGAGAATACAATCGGAGATAGATCGATCCTGCTTGCTAAGTAGTACGACAGGATTAGGGAAGTTGTCCCATATTGACTACGACGACGTGTTGGAGCTTTCAAACACGTTTATTCACCGATCAATTTTTCATACAAATTCAAGAGTATTTAAAGTCTTTTTCTTAACATTGATCACGTATTCTCTTCTCTTCGTACATTGTCTTTTGCGTGATTACCACAATTTTTCATTCTAATGTTGCATTCCATCTTTCATTATTTCCTTACAAGGTAATCTATTAAAGCTTAGTTTTCAATTAGCTTAAAATGTTATTTGAATATTACCCAAAATTCATTTTGTATGTGTTGTCTTCGAATTCTTACCCTTTACCACATACACTCCTTTTTTTCATTTTTAAAACAAAGCAAATGTTAACCAGCATAAAATCCGCAAATATCTAAAACTTATCACGTTATCTTGATGTCTTACACCTTATATAAATTTATCCTATGCAACATTGGTCAAAAAGGTTGTCCCACCCCCATTTCCATGTACTTTAATTTACTTTAATTATCACCTCACAGTTGTAAATTGTTAGAAATAGTGCTTTTTATTACAGATACCGTGTCTAACATGATTAACGACGAGTCAGTCTCGTGACTAAGGTCATATGATAATGGGTCGAAATGTCCAGTTTTGTAAAGGGGGGGGGGGGGTCACCCATCCCGCGACAACCTACACGTGGTAAAAGTAAAAGAGCCTTTTCCTGTCAATAATCCAAAGTTCAAATGTATTTTATCTCCAGTCCGCATACAACATTGGGCAGGAACATGATTGCGTTAGCTGAGAAATAAAATGTTGCAATTGAACTGAAAGATATTCAAATGCACATACTAGTCTCCAATCACAAAACAAATTTGTAGTCAATGAAAAAAACTTACTTACTCATAACAAACTTGAGCGAAGGAATCGCAATTAAATCTAGATAAAGAGACAATTGTTCATATTTCACAATGATTTTGGGTGTATCATTTTAATAATTTAAAAAAATTGGGAAATGATTTGATACACACAAGATCTGCAGGAAACCCGTAAACCATAAAATCCATAAACAGAATTTACACTCGAAAAAATGGAAATGGTTTGAAACGATATCGAGAGAGACTCCATAAGCTAATATGGTTTAACAGGTTGAAGTTTGTTTCTGTATTGGGGTTAGTATATGGGACGAATGTTACTTGTACAAAATAATAGGGAATGGACTATGGTTTCTAGCTGACTACCATCCCTGTCACACCGGACCATGCAGGTAATGCAATGTTGGATTACACAAATATATAATGTTAGAACTTTTACGTTGCATGCAACACATAACTGATGTCGTGGTATACTTATGTACACATATATGGAAAATAATCTTTATGAGGGTTTGAAATAGACATCAAAATATTGTAAAGATACGGGGTAATCTAGGCCCCTGCCTCAATTTTTTTCAACGCAGTGGTCGACCATTCATCAGAAATCCTGCTTATACGCATTCCCGACAAGCCCTCATATAACTGAATTTTATGTAGATATAAAGAGATAACATTCCATGGTGAATTTAGTACCTTATTTTGATATTAAAAATTGTGAATGGAAACATTCTGGCCATATTGTGACCTTGTAACTTTTGAAGACCCCATTCATCAGGCAACGGTATGAAGTCCTTGGACGAACTGTGACGAAACCAAAGCATCTTTACTCGTAACGTCCTTGATGTCCATTATAATATATCAAGCAGACCACGTCGCTATAAAGGGCCATTTTCCTCCAGAGAAGTGTTAGATACGAAGAAGAGCCATGTCTTTTCCGGCAGTGCATTGCCTTTATGTCTCTATGCTGTTTAACTCAGGTAATTATACACTTGTGCGCGCTTGTGTGTGTGTGTGTGTGTGTGTGTGTGTGTGTGTGTGTGTGGATGCGCGCACTCCTGCGTGTATGTGTGTATATGTGAGAGTGCGTGTGTGTGTGTGTGTGTGTGTGTGTGTGTGTGTGTGTGTGTGCATGCATGTACTCCTGCGTGTGTGTGTGTAAAAGAGAGACAGTGAGAGGTATGGAAGGGGTGAAGATTTGTGTACTTGAATACGGTTAAGTTTACATAAAGAATATATTTCACTGATAATAGTGCGAGTGTTAATTCCTATTCTAAACTAAATATGCCTCGGACTATTCCATAAGTCCATTTTTGCCTTTCAAATGATATTACAATATTAGCAACCATCCTTCTTTTGGATGAAGGCCTTTTTGGTGATGCAACAAAGAGACATTAATATTAGCATAAATTAAACCAAAACACTTGTCAATGATATCATTATCTGGACTTTTACACAAAACATTCGAATGCATAACCTTTCATTGCCTTATTTCTTTTTCAGACTATTCGACCACGCACCAGTTGCAAATTGTACAAAGATGTTTGCAGGAATTCGTGGGACCTTCGCCTGTAATCGAAATGGTTTCGTTTACAAACTGGGCGCAGGTTGTCAGTTACGACCACGTGTTCGTGGCCAAACCCAAATCATCGGAGGAGGTAGGTACAACCGTTGTCAGATCAGTTTTTTAATCCATAAGTTCTAGTTTTTTATCATCACGAGTGTCATTAATGAAGTTCTTCACCTTATACTTCCATGTGTGTCTCAAAAACTAAATTTATAAAACTTAAAAACGGGGTAATGGCTGAAGATGGTGATTAATGGAAAATTATGCAATTCCCCGACAATCGTATTCTTCCTTTTTTTTGCCATATATAACTCAATGAAACAGATTTGACACGTAAGATCACGCCTGAGGCACCAAATGCTCATTTCACATCTACGTATTTCAGCTGTGTATGGTTTAAGCCATAATAAAGTCCATTCGTATTTGGTAAAAAAGAAAAAAAAAACACGTTTTTTGTTAGATCCAGAGAATAGTCAGGGCTGCTCTTTCATACAGAAGACAAGTCCGTGCCATGGGCAGTAGTCACTCTATATCTCCTCTCTACGGAGACCGGGGACAAATCTATCTCAATCTGACGGACCTGACCCTAGATGACGGGCAGACAGTAGTTCTCAAGCCAGCGGTAAGTTGTTGTTATGTATGGTCGTACTGCAGTTCCTTGTTTTCCTAGTGCATGTGACATTCATCGTCAGTAGAAATGCCCTGCTTTTTTTTTAATTCAACACATAGCTTTTCATATTTGCATAAGACGGCTATCAAAGAAGTATATAAAAAATTATTCTTATAAGTAGAAAAATATACAAAAAAACTGTGTAAAGAAACGGCTTGTTAATATTTTCCAGCCCTTGAGGCTACGCGAACTTTTTCACACAAGTACTTGCGGCCAGTGACCGTATGACATGATGAAAAACTGAGGCAGTAAAATCTGTCAAGCCAATATTTCCTTTATCACGGAATGTAAATACTGTCGTTTTTCAGGGACCCTCCGATACACACGCCACCGTGAGAGTCGCTGCCGGTCTGTCCCAAGGAAACTTTGACCAGGAGTTGGATATTTTAGGTTACCACTTTCCTTACGGACCTGTTATAATAGAACCACATATAGGGGGTGCTCTCGGAACAGGATCACACGTAATATGCTTCCTTCGGATTCCATAAGCAAAGTGTTTATTAAAATGTTTCCCCTGTTTGTGTGTGTGTGTGTGTGTGTGTGTGTGTGTGTGTAAAATGAATCCTATATTCACTGGAAGTTAATATTAAAAGATTGAGTTTTAATAATTTTAACCGCAAATACTGAGCGAGCATACATGCATGCCCCAGTTGTAAAACATAATGAAGGCAAATAGTCAATGTTTGTGGAAATAAAGTACGTTCTTTGATTTTCAGGCGGGATTTTATAATTCAGCCTCAGTGGGGGCATTCTTGGTCGGAGCGAGGCTGGTAGACGGATGGGGGAACATCAGAGTCTTCAGTGAAGACACACACCCCGAAGTAATGAAAGCACAGCGATGTAATTTGGGGCTGCTTGGAATTTTGTTCGAAGTTGAGTTGAAAGTGAGTTTCGAGGAACGCGGTCACAGTAAATGTCTATAAACACTTGATGCAATGCATTATTATAATTATCATTATTCTTTATTTCGTCACGACCATTTTGGTACGTTTAGTAGCTCGATTTTTAAAAGTATATGCACCCGATTTATAAAAGGTGCATACTGTCTAGGAACACTGCACAAAGGTACATCACAGAATGTTTTACAAGAAAATCATAGTGGTAAACCGTTTTTATCATTATTCTGCCATTTTCGTATAAAAGGTGATCCCACAAGTGAGCGTTGTCCATAAAAACGTGTTCACCCCACTGAGAAACCTATATGACCCTAATTTTCTACGGGGCGTCGTGGCTGGGAACTATCACGTCAACATTTGGCACGACCCCTACAACTCCCTGACGGAGAAAGAGGCTCAGGAGGTACTAAAAACAGGATTGGTTCCCGAAACATGGGACTGCGGGAACGATTTGGCAATGTTAGAGTAAGTAAATTGTCAATTTTTTTGTCAAATTGTAAGGGATTATAGACTGCTCAGTATTGTCACTGGGAACTTAAAGCGACACGCAACTTTCCTGGTTTGACGACAGATTGGCTGCGGAAGATATAGAGCAATTCTACAAGAATTGCCGGTGCATGAAGACAATCGCAAGTTCGAACCACATATGTTCGTCGTATGTGAATGAGTAATTTCATAATATTTGCGTCGGCAACTATTTGACTTTTTGTCGCTCAAAATCTAGATATTGTACCTTCAAATACCCTGGAAACGACCCATAAGTTTATATAATTTTTGCCAGCAGTAAACATATTAATTCTGATGTCTTTTTCAGGCTGGTTAACCCTGTTTCAAGTCCGGCAACAATACAGATTAAAGATGAACGTCCATCCTCGTATAACGTCACAGTGGTGTCACAAGGACAGGTCAGTGAACTGCAGGCGCGTTTACATGTACATTAAAAATGTGTCGATCTCTCTTGACACATATCTCCGAGCTATTATATCAATGAATTTAATGAGTTTTGATGAGTTTAATCCAAGGTCTTATTGGACAGCAGCTAGCGAATTAAAGAATTAAAGGCACAGGCTTTTAAAATTAAGATATTGGGATGTTTTCTACATGCATGCGAAATAAAATTTCTAGATATGTAGCCTACACCACGTTTTATACTTTACTGTTTATCTGCTAAAGAATCACTTATAACTGGGACCAATTTACTTCTATATAACCATTGCAGTCCCTCTTGGGTTGTTGGGTAGCAAAATTGAATCCAAAGTAGGGGGCACGCACTGCATGCGTTACTCCACATCTGTGTGTGTTATACATGTAAGGGTCACAAAGACAAGCAGGCCGTAGCATATTAACCCCCTATGACTCTACACTTACATGTACCAATACATTCCTGACATTTTTGTCACACAAACGAGGTAACACTGCTGTTTGTTTTTGTTTTGTTTTTGTTTTTTTTTTCTACCACAGGAGTATCACTAATAAAGGTGAGCACTGTCACGGCGTGCAAAGTGTAGATCGCCTCTATTATTCATTGTACATGTAGCCATTTAAAGATCAAAAGGTTAAGACAAAGATGCAGATAGTTAACCTTTTGTTCAAGGACTTTGTATGAAAAATATCTAGGCTGTCAGTTATCCTGAAATAATTTGCTACTGTATAACAAGAAACTTGGTTTGTATTTATTTGTGTTGCTTGACATATTAAAACATTTTTTGAATTTCAAAATGGCCGTCAATGAACATATATATTAATGGATATATTAGATTTAACTAAATCATAATAGCATGGAATTTTGCCTGTTATTACTTTGCATGTATTTTTATTTGCCCCACTGAATAGTATGTGATGTGTACAAATTTCTCATTTTTGATCGCATACGTCTCTTTATAATAGGCAGTTTTTAAGACTCGTCTGGCTCTTCCTCCCACCCGAGTAGTGCCATTACATAAGGCCGTTCATGGGCCTGCCTGGCCATATAATTTGGTCATCACAGAGTACGACTTTCCCGACCCTGACTTTACTGCAAGTGCCGCAGCCATTCGGGTAAGTTTTCGCTGGCTATTGCATTTCGGTCTTATTGGACAGTATATCGTGCAATAGATATGAATATACATTGTATATGTCGTAAGGTGGGGCTGCATGCTTATTATTATGACCATTGCTAAAAGGGAATTTTTTAACAACGAGGAAAATTATGTTTACCTTAAAAAAACAGGCACTGATTTATTATCCGTCAAATAAATGGTGACCTAACACGTAAACCGTTTGTTTTATAATCTCACGTTTAAATTTGACATTTATATAAATCCTTTTGTTTATAAAACGACCTAATTCATTCTAAATGTGAGGAATGATAGTCTCCTCGCAACAATGTGACTTGATATATCTAAAAAAGTTTAAAACATAATTGCAATTTCAAATGTAGTGCTATTCAGACAATGGTCTAATCAAGATTCAACACGTAACTGGAGAGTAGGCCTAGAAGTGCAGTGAGTACATTATGTGCATTGAAATGTACTCAGTAAATCGTGCAATTATTGCTGCAAGAAAATAAGACCGATTTCCAGCACTATAATTATTTTACTGAGGAAAATTATTATCTTGCAGTCTCTAGCGTCAACACTTAATCACGAGTCGCGCAAGGATGGCGTCCAAAACCTCCACGATAACCTTTTCCGGTGGGTCCGCAGTACCATCTGCCACCTATGTGCTACGTCACTTCCGTCTGCTTGGATCAGGGTGCCTTCTGGTCAGCTCGCAGCCACTGGAGACGTCTTTGGAACCCTTAACCTCGAGTCAAGGTGGACAAACTCTAATGAGCTTCAGCGTAGTAAGGACATTTTTACCAAGGTATTTTAAAGTGCTACAAATGATATACCGTATGTGTGCACTTACGCTCTCTCTCTCTCTCTTTCTCTCAAACACACACACATACGCACAGATTTTAAATAACCCAGAAGAATCAATAAGTANGGGGCACGCACTGCATGCGTTACTCCACATCTGTGTGTGTTATACATGTAAGGGTCACAAAGACAAGCAGGCCGTAGCATATTAACCCCCTATGACTCTACACTTACATGTACCAATACATTCCTGACATTTTTGTCACACAAACGAGGTAACACTGCTGTTTGTTTTTGTTTTGTTTTTGTTTTTTTTTCTACCACAGGAGTATCACTAATAAAGGTGAGCACTGTCACGGCGTGCAAAGTGTAGATCGCCTCTATTATTCATTGTACATGTAGCCATTTAAAGATCAAAAGGTTAAGACAAAGATGCAGATAGTTAACCTTTTGTTCAAGGACTTTGTATGAAAAATATCTAGGCTGTCAGTTATCCTGAAATAATTTGCTACTGTATAACAAGAAACTTGGTTTGTATTTATTTGTGTTGCTTGACATATTAAAACATTTTTTGAATTTCAAAATGGCCGTCAATGAACATATATATTAATGGATATATTAGATTTAACTAAATCATAATAGCATGGAATTTTGCCTGTTATTACTTTGCATGTATTTTTATTTGCCCCACTGAATAGTATGTGATGTGTACAAATTTCTCATTTTTGATCGCATACGTCTCTTTATAATAGGCAGTTTTTAAGACTCGTCTGGCTCTTCCTCCCACCCGAGTAGTGCCATTACATAAGGCCGTTCATGGGCCTGCCTGGCCATATAATTTGGTCATCACAGAGTACGACTTTCCCGACCCTGACTTTACTGCAAGTGCCGCAGCCATTCGGGTAAGTTTTCGCTGGCTATTGCATTTCGGTCTTATTGGACAGTATATCGTGCAATAGATATGAATATACATTGTATATGTCGTAAGGTGGGGCTGCATGCTTATTATTATGACCATTGCTAAAAGGGAATTTTTTAACAACGAGGAAAATTATGTTTACCTTAAAAAAACAGGCACTGATTTATTATCCGTCAAATAAATGGTGACCTAACACGTAAACCGTTTGTTTTATAATCTCACGTTTAAATTTGACATTTATATAAATCCTTTTGTTTATAAAACGACCTAATTCATTCTAAATGTGAGGAATGATAGTCTCCTCGCAACAATGTGACTTGATATATCTAAAAAAGTTTAAAACATAATTGCAATTTCAAATGTAGTGCTATTCAGACAATGGTCTAATCAAGATTCAACACGTAACTGGAGAGTAGGCCTAGAAGTGCAGTGAGTACATTATGTGCATTGAAATGTACTCAGTAAATCGTGCAATTATTGCTGCAAGAAAATAAGACCGATTTCCAGCACTATAATTATTTTACTGAGGAAAATTATTATCTTGCAGTCTCTAGCGTCAACACTTAATCACGAGTCGCGCAAGGATGGCGTCCAAAACCTCCACGATAACCTTTTCCGGTGGGTCCGCAGTACCATCTGCCACCTATGTGCTACGTCACTTCCGTCTGCTTGGATCAGGGTGCCTTCTGGTCAGCTCGCAGCCACTGGAGACGTCTTTGGAACCCTTAACCTCGAGTCAAGGTGGACAAACTCTAATGAGCTTCAGCGTAGTAAGGACATTTTTACCAAGGTATTTTAAAGTGCTACAAATGATATACCGTATGTGTGCACTTACGCTCTCTCTCTCTCTCTTTCTCTCAAACACACACACATACGCACAGATTTTAAATAACCCAGAAGAATCAATAAGTAATAATACTTTAGACTTAAAATTAAAATGATTGTTTTAATTTCTAAAATGCAAATTTTCATATTCGGTAGTCAATGTTGAAATGTTAACAAATTCCCTGTAGTCTCCTTCATATGATTATTATTTAATTTATTTATTTATTTATTTATTTTTTTATTTATTGGAAAATATATCTGAAATGTCGCACAGTGTACGTCGATGCATCCACCCTGCAGACACTAATCTCTAACTTGACGCTCAATACTCTTGAGCAGTGTTTTCCTATTTTATTTATAAACACATGCTGATTAGAAAAGATAAATTCAACAAACACAGCACTTACAGGTATGTAGTAAGCTGAATATGTAGGGCACATTTGGTTTAAAATTCAGATAATTTCCGCATGGGAGAGTGACTCCGTTGGCATCAAAGGTGGCGCACCCCACTGGGGGAAACTACTGGACATCTACCCCGACCTCCGACACAGGGCCAGAAACATCTACGGCGACGACCTGAGGGTCTTCTTAAATATCAGAAAATCGCTTGACCCTTACGGCGTGTTTACTAATTCATTTTTAAGAAGAGTTTTGGGGATTTACGTTGCCAGGTTCTGACGTGCTTTCTTGTTAATGTTTCGTAAGTAAGATGTAAACACAAAACTTCGTTCCGTATTGTGCGTTTTACTGACTGGCCATTGAAGGCAATGCTGCGCATTTAAATATTTAGTCTGGTAATTGTGATTTGTATTGATGTATGAGATAAGAAAAATCTCTTTCCTTTTTAAGATGCAAACATCGCAAAAACGAAGTCTCGTCTTTAAACTCATTTTAGGATTTAAACCATGTGTTATTGCTTTGGTATTAGTAACATTTAATCACTTCCCGTTACTACATTTTGTAATCAAGATCGATTAAAATGAATGAAATAAATACTGATTAATGAAATAAATACTATTGAAATATTTTTTTTGTTTTTTTTCTTCCTTTTTTCTTTTTTTATACATTGATATTGTTAGATTTCTTTTTATCAATTTATTCATTTATTTATGGAAATAGGGCAAGTTATGTTTTTTGACTGAAACAACCCATTTTGTCTGAATAAATTAGACAACCTTTCAATTGGTAAATTTGAAAATATATAGAAATGCTTATGTTCTTCTTATATGTTTTTACAGTTCATAATCAAAGATCTCGATAGAGCATCACCAAAAAAAGTTATACATTTACTAATTATACTAAGTTCATTGATATTTTAAAGTGTTCATACAAATGATGCCTTAGATACAAAAAGGAAAACTTCAACTCTGGATAATATATATCTACTTGCACTGATAACTTATATTTTATTTTGTTTACTTTTGTTACGTTTTATTCATCTGGTCACCCAGTTTCAAACAGCATTGAGAACGAACGGCATTGTGTTAGTTGAGAAATAATATGTTGCAATTAAAGCGCAAGGTATTTTATTGCAAATCATCACAGCAATCACAACGCAAACAATGCCCATGGAAATCAGGGCCCCGTATCTGGAAAGCATCGCGCATTGTGACCGTGCGCAATCGTCTCGATTCCATAACTCGCCCATACTTGCTATTCGCATTACAGTGTAGCCTCTATGTGATATCGCTATTCGCAATACGCGATGCTTTCGAGATACGGGGCCCAGGTATTTTCCCTGCTCTCTGCCATGGGCCTTTCTATCTCTTAAAAACATTTTTTTAAATGAATAACATTAATTAAAATTAATAACACTGAATATATTATAGGATTCAAATGACTTGTGGTTTATGGATGTATTATTTTAACAGAAAATTGTGGGATATGCAGTGACACTCTCACAAAAGCAAAAAAAAAAAAAAAAAAAAAAACGCGTAAGCTCATGTACGTTGTAACTGCTCAAATTACATTTTGAAAATGCCCTTTACCGTGTATCCGTTCCCTTTCAAATCTTATAGCCCGAGATGGGTTAAACAAGGCATCCTAATTAGAAATTCACCTGGCGTCCTTGATGTAACAAGCAGACCACATCGCTATCCAATGCCATTCCATCCCAGAGAGTCGGCAGAGACAGAGGGGAATTATGTACGTTGCGGCAATTCATTGCCTTTATGTCTGCATGTTATTTAACTCAGGTACGTGCTATTTTGTATGTGTGTTTGTGCGCACGCGTTTGTGTGCTAGTTTGTGTCCATGTGTGTGTGTGTGCGTTCGTGTGCTAATTTGTGTCCATGTGTGTGTGTGTGCGTTTGTGTGCAAATTTGTGTCCATGTGTGCGTGTAAAGTGCACGCAGATTCTCGTCCTCTCAGGTGAACATTTGTTTATTAATGACAGCGTAAGTCAATATATATCTCAACTGAAAATGCCTACTCCTATTACATTCAACCTTTTTTCTTTGAAAATTATGCAATTACTAGCTATTATTGGTAATCAGACAGCCCTTTTAAGCCTTTTCTTTCTTTAATGAATGCCTAATTTGTGTTTTAAGGGTTGCAGCGGAGTGACACTTTGAGAAAATATATGTCGATGTTATCTTTAACTGGGCTTTTTTTGCCAAACAGTCGTACATTGTATGCATAACCTTACATTGCCTTATTACTTTTTCAGACTATTCGACCACGCACCAGTTGCAAATTGTACAAAGATGTTTGCAGGAATTCGTGGGACCTTCGCCTGTAATCGAAATGGTTTCGTTTACAAACTGGGCGCAGGTTGTCAGTTACGACCACGTGTTTGTCGCCAAACCCAAATCATCGGAAGAGGTAGGTACATGTACAGCCGTTGTCAGATCAGTTTTTTTAGTCCATAAGTTCCAGTCACGAGTGAAACCAACAAAGTTTTTCACTTACTGCGTACAAGTGTGATTCAAAAACGGGCTTATGGCCATGGATGGTTTTGAAAATTGTTGGAAAATTTTGAAATTCCCCAAAATTCTCTTTTATTATTTTTATTTAATTATTTTCATTATTGCTATATGCAATTCATAGCTATTTCATTAAATAGATTTGACCTATAAAACCACGTCTGAGGCACAAAATGCTTATTCCCCATCAACGTGCATGTTAATCAGGCGTGTGTTTTAACAGTAGTGAAAATTCAAATCAACCCGTATTTGGTTGATTAGAAAATAAAAACCGGTATATAATATAATATAATATTTTTAGATCCAGAGAATAGTCAGGGCTGCTCTTTCATACAGAAGACAAGTCCGTGCCATGGGCAGTAGTCACTCTATATCTCCTCTCTACGGAGACCGGGGACAAATCTATCTCAATCTGACGGACCTGACCCTAGATGACGGGCAGTCAGTAGTTCTCAAGCCAGCGGTAAGTTGTTGTTACCGGCAGTCCTTGTGCTCATCCTTGTGCTCATCTACATGCATCTTCATTTGAGATGCCCTTCTATTTTGAAACTCAACACACACAACAGATTTCTCCAGAGGTTATAAGCATGGAAGGCTTTTGCATAACAAACTACCGTGTAATCATATAGAAATAATAAGCTTATAGCTTATCATTTAAGTGGAAAACAATTATATGAAAACAGTGTATAATATCTCTCTCGCCACACACACACACACACACACACACACACACACACACTGATATTAAACATGCTTCCCAGCAAACACGTCACGTTCGGATCACGTGGCTAGCACGCGTACGGTGCTATGACGTTATAATGTGGTAGCAACGTGCTCCCCACGTGATCCGAACGTGACGTGTCTGTTTGGTTAAAGTATCATTACGAATCTACAAAAGATTTCAGCGAGAAAAAGATACCGTGCTCCTTGATGGGGGATCGAATACTGTGTGCAAGTCAACAAAATAGCTCCATGTATCTCAGTTTATTCGATAGACCGGATTTTATACCGATGGTTTGCTTCCAAATATTAAACCGACGATTATTTACAAGTCAACAGAGTCAATAAAATAGTTCCCAGTAATTTAGTTTGCACCTACTTGTTCTTTTCTGTTTACGTAGCTGGGTGTTACGGTATGGTGTATATTGTACATATGTTGTTTAGTTAAATGAATGCAACCTAGACATTAATCAAAGTATATGCTTTTCACCCAAACCCAATATAGAGGTGCAATTGATGTCACAAGCATGTTATTAAAAATATTTACTGCACAGATTGCTAACTGTGTTTGATTATTTTAGGGTCCCACATGAAGAAGCTTGTATAAAAGTTTCACTCTCCTGGAACCATGATTAATTAAAAACAATTCATTGTTTAACCCCAAAAAGGAACATACGTTACTGTCACAAATACAAAACGTCCAACTGTGAAACGTTCTACTCACTTTGAAAATTCAGTCATCACTGGTTTTGTTCATTGATTTATCTCCTACAAGTATAACGTTGTTAAAAATTATAATAATCTTCTGTATAGACCAGTTAATTGTTTTTGAGCGACTTAAGTTTGCTTGTCACAGAATAATAAATTATGGGGAAAAATGCACCCTACCGACAGTAAAATAAGCATTAAATAAACATGTTTCCCTTCATGATCCAAAGGTTATATCAGAAATGTCAAACTATTATGGAACCACAATATATTGTTCGGTCAGCAAAAGAAAACATTGTATCTTTTGCACACAAGTACTTGAACAAAATGAAACATTTTGACAATTTTTCTAGGGAACATACGTTACCTATAGGTGAGCGGCAAAACCCCAAAAAGTGCTTTATTTAAGGAGTTTAGTGTCCCCTTTATACACAGACCTGAATTATATACCATTTGAAAGCTAAGAGTCTGCTGGTCAAAGTTAGCCATGATGTGGAAATGGCAATTGCCTGCGTAACCATGGAAACGGACAATTTCCAAGATGGCCGCCTGTTTTTTTGCATTTTTTCTAAAAATACAAATCATTGATAAACATACCTAAAACATTGTCTATCATCTAACCTTAACATGTTTTGTGATGAGGGAGGTTATGGGCTAAAAAAAACACCATAGCAGAATTTCAAGATGGCCGCCGTTTTCAAGATGGCCGCCATTGTTTATGAAAAATTGGTCAAATTTTCTCATTTTATTCCAAATCTTTACATATAGAATCATAATTGTGGTGTCGACAAAATAGTTATTGCATGAATTATACAAAGTAGGTATATTTTCATTTAGTTATGGCATTTGGTTAAATTTGGGGGATGGTAAAGCAGTCAATTTTCAAATATTCAACATGGCCACCATGAAATGCCTATTTCCATGAGGTAGGCTTTTGTGCACTTAAATAATCAATAAAATTATTTTTATTACCAAGCTCAAAACATATTTTTGCTAGATGCTAGATTTTACATGATGCTTCATACAACTTCTTCAAAATGGCCACCATTTTGAAGATGGCCACCGTTTTCAAGATGGCTACCATCATTTGTGAAAAGTGTTCGAATTTGCTAATTTTATTCCAAATCTTTACATATAAAATCAAAACCATAATGTCCATATAACTATTATGGAATGAATTATACAAAGCAGTCATTAATTTATTACATTATGGCATTTGGTTTAACTTCAGTGATATTTTAGCAGTCATTTCTTAAATATTCAAAATGACTCACTGCCATGAAATGCAAATTTCCGTAACTTGGGATTTGATTCAGCTAAATCATCAAATAAATAATTTTTTTGTCCAAGCTCTCATACATATTTGTGCTAGATGCTACTTGATGCTTAATACATCTTCAAGATGGCCATCATTTTCAAGATGGCCGCCAAATGGAGTTTTTTCTCAAAATTGTATTACGCACATCTAAAGATGAAATTATTTGCAAAGCATTACTACATATATGGTTGCAAAAGAAAAATAATTGTAGGATATGTGCTATTACTGCAACTTTTCACTTATAATAAACAATTTTTGGATTTTCCAATATTTGTATGTACTAACACATGTTAAGTCAAGTCAAAGTTA